ATGAACTTTCAACTGTTTTGTCCCATTCTACCTTCAATCTATTTCTTTCCAGTCTCCATGCAAGTGTAGCTACAAGTCTACCATTTGAACTTTTCCTTAGTCATATTCATTTTTATTAAACTATTATGTTTTCTTGTTTTTCTTCGGATGTCTCTATTCTTAGGAAATTGACCCATTATTTCTTAGACAACGAAATTCACTTGTCCTTTTAGGCTACCTTAGATTGACTTCTCATTTTTGTCTCTTAAGTTCTATTCGTCCTACTGAGTTTTAAAAAAAGATTTAATGCTTTTTTGTGCTTACACAAGCTTTTTTATATTCTTAGTCACTCAGCTACAACGTAGGACCAGGCACTTCTGTGCATCGGTCCAAGTTACCATACCTCATTAGCACAACAAGATGAACCCCGGATTCATAGCAGTTAATTTAATGGTGGTAATATATAAAAGATTGCGTATAAAGATATAGTACAGAAAGGAAGAATTAGTTCGTAGAAAGAAAGATATGAAGTTTAAGGGAAGACAGAAAGTGTATACACCTATGCCCTTTTGATCGATTGTGAGCCATGTCACTAAGAGTCTCTAACCACTGGTTACGATAGTCACGCAGACCCCAACCAAGTAGTCTGCGTCTACTAACATGGCTCAGACCAGAAGCTAATGACTTCTAGCACTGATGTCACGTTTTGGTTTGGCTGCACCTAGCTTCCTTCCAACCATCCCCACCACTAGTGAGCATTGCATGTCGTGGTAATCGGTGTTCAGCCAGACGTAGATTTGTTCATTTCATGAAAATGAAAATACTTGTCTTAACCACAAATCCACATTAATGTTTGAATACTCTTGATTGTTATATTTGAATATATTCTGTCTGAGGTTATCTGTAATATTTTCAATTAATGTATATCGTATCAATCACTTTCGGTCATTTTTACATTTGTTTAGTGAATTATTAAATATTAAATAATGTATACTTTTAATTAGTGATTTCATTTCAAGTTATAGCTTTCACTATATTGATTCTTGTCATTTAATATATTGGTCTGTACTACACTAACTTGTCATAACAGACAGTGACAAATACGTAAAATGAAAACTTCAAATGATATTCTTACTAATGCAATTAAATTGAAGTATATTATAAAAGCATTTTTCTTTTTTCTTGTTTGCCGCAATAAAATCAGAAATTTATTTTTGGTACTATCAAGATAACTATATACATATCATACATTAGGCACATCGTATTGAGGTCAGTGTATAAATTGTTCCAAAATCCATAATGTTTACAAGTTTGTTTATTCTCCAAATGGATATTGATCAATATGTCGAGATATTTATATATAGATTCATATATGGTTCCACACTAATTTGCATTAATATTTATTATAATTTCTCATTGTAAATGAACAAACATTATTGTATTAAAGATAATATATATCTCTAAATAAGTGACTATTATTTCAATCAAGGTTATGTACGAATAGTTAGTAAAATGTCATAAAGATGCATTGATTGTATGGAGTGGGATAGTTAAGGTATTCGACTTTTAATTATATTAGATTGTTGTACAATAATTACCCAACATCAATGATTGGAGAGACCAGTATTGTTCACAATTGGACAAAATGCTTTCACATTTTATCTTGTCTTAGATCTTCTGTTCTACTATTCCTTCATACACGGCTTTTCTTTTTGTTTTTTTTCTAAACTATATCCGCAAAGTTTAGTCTTTCGCATTACCATCTCAGCTATTTAAATTCCTTTTATGGTACCCCTTTTGTTAAATTCACTCCATTGTGTTGTGACCATTTGGGCTCATGTTTATAACTGACTGACTAATCTACCGCTTTTCATAGATATATTCAATGTTCTCACATAAACGCTTCGAGCTACCTATTTGGAGAAATACATGCACAATCTTTCATTAATATCGTATTTTCTTTTTTTCCCTTGATTTATTACTTTGTATAATTATCAAAAAAGTTCAAGTTATCCTGTTGATATTCCCAATTGAATTTTGAACAGTCGTCGACATATGTTCATCCGATGCGAATCGCCGCTAACAGTGGAATACAAGATTTTGTTTTCGTCCTATTTTGGACTCGTCAATAAGATACACTTCTACCCCAATGTTGATGTTCACAACGAACTCGAATCCGTTGCATTTCACCTCAAACTCCAAATACGTTATCCACTGAGCTACTGATTTTAAATAGCCACTAATTCGTGTAATGGTTTTATGTTAAAATGATGACTGACCAACTGACTGATATTAGAACTACGACTCAAACCACATTTTAATCATTCTTGTTCATTCAGTTATATTGTATCACTAACTGTCAGATGCAATATGTGTACATGAATTTGAAACAGATTATTGAATTACATTCAATCAATCATCTATTTATATTTTACATTTTTTCTACGTATGGGAGTTTATCGTCTACTATTTGTTCATGTATAATTGGAATAATTTGAAAATAGTAACTAGATTTGATTCTCCACAAACGTTTAAAAGGATTCGTTTATGTTTACAGTATGTTTTTATGCCAAACAATGTACTATTGTGATAAACGTCTCTTTGTTGTATGAGCAGTCGGAACCCCTCATGAAAGTCTTTGGCGGTTCAAAATATACTGAAAATACATCTAATTAGCGTTCAGTAGAAATTTTTAAGAGGATTCTAAAAACCAGCAGATTACTTATTATCCCGTTTGGATAATTACCGATTACAACCTCATCATCACATATAAACCTTGGGAGTGAAATTTCTTTAATATTTTCCACCCTTCATTTTCTTGTTTCAGTTCGAAGACTAGAAGATTTCTAGGCACTAGAAAACATTCATGAAGTCAGTGTCTAAGAGCTTAAGTACCAAATATATCAATAAGTACACGTTATATTTTACATTGCTATTTTCACACTCAACTACTCAGTTTATCTCATATAATAATCTCTCCATATTTTTTTTATCAAAAATAATTTTCATTTCATCATTTATGATTATATGAACTAAAAATAGAAGAGTCACCCTTTAAGAAGATCAATTTCTCAGTACTGCCTATTTATGAGTATATTATTGTCAGTAAAATGAAAGACAGATGTTTTCCTACTGAAGTAAAATTATTATTCATTGTCTTTTTATACATCGATACAGCTTAGTATAGAAACTAAAAGTTTAGACTTATGTCAACACCGATTTTGAAAAGACAAGCTGTTGGTTCTAACAAACTAACTTCCTACTAATAAGCCCTACGATACTAAACTAATTTCATTTAATTACAGCTCTTTACAAAGAGAATATATAATCTCTGACAGATTATCAGGTTGATATAATAAGATCTTTTCAAATCATCAGTCAACACCCAAACTCCATTTTTCCTAAATTTTCCGAAGCTATAACTAAACGTTTCAAGCTGGATTTATTTACCCAAAAATTAAGCAGTCACAAATCTTTCCTTATCATAGTTACTTAATCATCAGTTTCTTATATCATTCTTGTAATTCTCTTATTTTGATTGCACCACTTCTTTCAAATTCAGAATTTTATTTCCAACTGACTGATCTCAACTCATTCCTATTTGTTACTAATTTATTTTTAATTACTCCATCACATAATCAGTTGATTTCTTCCTAGTTCTATGATCCCTTGTTACTATGTTCGATGATCCAGAATCTTCTCTCGCATTTTATGTTTACACCACTCTTTATAATTCTCAAAATTTCATTGCATTTACTCAAATCATCACTATCCACAAAGAAAGAGTGGAATTGGAAGAAGCTGATCCCAAAAACCCACACTGCCTTATCCCACTGATTTCCGCCTCCGATGGTAAGGTCTTGATAAGTACGGAACTAACACAAAAAGGTCGTGTGTGACAGGCCTCAATCAGTTGTCCCTTGGGCATGTTATTCTGTCCAATTATTTTTTCTTACTCTCTCCAAGATCATAATAATGGCAACTAATTATGTGATATGTTCGTTTTGTTTCTTATCATTGTACTTCGTATTTTTTTATTGAAGGCATTCGTTATTGAGTAATGTATTCACATTTTCGTTACTGAGTTAAATTGTTAAATATGAACTGTTTATTGTATGTAACCCAGTCAGTTGTAAATTCATGTACACATATTACATATGACAGTAATTGATGATACTATATAACTGACTGAACTAAAGTGATTAACGCGGGGTTCGAATCACCATTCTAAGGTCAATTAGTCATCAATGTAGAGTCTAGCACGGACAGGTTCTCTAACGTTGTGGTTAATGATATTTTTGGAAACTAATATTTGATATTTGTGTCAATTTATTATTTGTTCACAAATTTCTTAGTGATAATAGTAATAATAATATTGTACTTTTATATGACAAATTTATACATTTATGTTCTTCGATGATTGAATGTAGTCAACAGATAACCCTGAATTTGGGTTTTGTGTGCTAGTCGGCACTCATCAACAAGGTGTACCTGAGAACTTGATAAATTGATGTTCTCTAATCCATTCGAACCTTGATCACTCAGTACCTCATTCCATAGCATTACCAATGACTTATTCTGACTACCTGAGGCTTCCTGTATGACTGAGTTATTTACATTAATTGATTACTAATTAATGACTAATATCATATTTGTCTGCTCCTTAGTGGTGGTTGAATTTTACTGACTAATTCTACTTTCATCCATTTAACATAAATCTCAGTGCACTCAATTTCGAGTTACTGAGTCTAGTTGCTATATTTCAACGTGATCGATACAATTCGACCAAAACCAAGGAAATTCTAGACAAACATGATACTGGCCATTACTTAATAACTCATCAATGTATATATTATGATTAGTTTTCTAATGTGACTAGGGTTTTGTTGTAATACGTTTAACATATCGCTCATGTGCAATTACCTAGTAGAAAATGCTGATTGTTTGTAGTATATTGAATTTATTCTATTTCAGCAATAAATAATCAGATTGTTTTCTTAAATCCTATCTTATTAATTTAGCGTTTCCCTACTAATGTACGAAAATATCAACTTGATCGAGTTATAGCCCGGTTTGATTTCGAGACCAAAGGTGCCGGTGAATTATCTTTACATCGTGGTGATGTTATCGAAGTGATTAATCGTAATGATGAAAATTGGTGGCGTGGTCGTACATCCGATGGACGATGTGGCCTATTTCCATCAAATTTTGTAGATGATTTACCTTCAGTCATATAAATAAATTTTCAGTAAAATATTGCTTTAGAAACTAGTAAGTAACTAATCAATCAATCATTCACAAATGTTGCCTCGTTAACTTTCTTTTATACTTTAAAATCTTTCTATGTATGTGTGTGTGAGTGTTTGGGCATAAGCATCCCTAGTTTCTGTAAACATATACATGTAGCTCTCTTTTTCTCTCCGTTTATCTTACTGACAAGGATTTAACCTCGTTCAGCTTTGTATTCATATACTCCTTTCCAATAGCTATACATACATTTATCATATTAATTATCGTGAAAAAGAAAGAATAGATGAACAACACGTGCATATAATTTACATAATAGAGCACAATAAACCTCTTTGCTTGTTTGTTTGTTTTATATACTGTTCTTTGTCCAATTTCTTTGTGTCTTTTTTTCTTCAAATATTGATTTATCTTCTTAAAATCTAATCGAAAATATAAGAAGAACAAATCAAGTAAATATTTACAAATAAAAATGTTATTAGCATATTAAGTACTATAATAATTTATTTCAATAACATTTAATGTTTTTCACTAGTTGTTGGGGCTTCTTATTTGCTCGCCTTGATTTATTATTATTACTATTATTAGACATTGAATTCGAATAATTACGTCATCAGCGAACAATTTTCTGTCTTAACTGAATGTATAAATTCTCTTATTGATTCTGTGTTCTGCCTTGATGTTGAATAGTAACTATTAATCAAAACAGGATATTTTCCTTTGAGTTGATCCAACTATATATTTATATATAAACGGATAGATGTTGTCTGTGAAACTCGTCGTCTATTTTACTGTCATTATTGCTATTTCTTCGTATTGCATTGTTTGTTGTTTCTCTTCGAGTCTTTGTTATTTTCTTACTCATACTACAATATTACTATTATTAGTATTATAGATATTCTTAACTGTGCAATACACCTTAATCAATCATTACGCATGCACGCACCATTCATCATCACACTTGCTGCCATTTTTGCTTATTTTGTACCTCCTCTTTCTTTTCCTTTCTTTCACTAGTGTATATCTTCATTGTCCTGTTATTTTATTTTGTCCCATTTTGTTGTCGTTGCCATTGTATGGGGTAACCGTTGCCACTCATATCTTTTTTCCCATGTACACTGATCAGTCCATATGGTTTGAGGCTGATTTTTTTTTAATTTCCGATTTACCATGTTTTGTTTTGTTTCTTGTGTTCATTCCGTTTATGGATTAATGAAAGAGCGCGGAACAGACGACTATGTGAATAATTACATTATCATATTATTATTATTATTATTATTATTATTATTATTATTATTATTATTATTATTATTATTAATGGTTTACATTCTGATGTTATTAATCTCTTTTTTAAATGTTCAAGACTTTTTATAGTAGTGACTTGTGTTCATTAGCATTTTATTTCCTAGTTTGCTTCTATCGCTGACTATAGCTGTTATCTTCTATTAGTTATTGAACTTGTCACTTCTAATCGTTTGTTTGAGTGATATTGGTTTAAATACTTCTACCTTGAAATCATAACACCCTGGTCAAGTTGTTTAAAGACTGATCTAATCAAATAAAACAATTCTAAATTCAAAGTTGTACTGTTCTCTATGCTGCTTTGCATGTAAAACCAATATCCGGCCACGTAAAAAATTTGACTAGGGCGTTCCCAAAATAGTACATCGATTCTACTCGCACGTTTCTGGCGAAAAGACATAGTAAGTTATAAGTTGATTCTGCAAGGATAATTACTCACTAGTAGGTCGCATGTGACCATCTTCTGATAGTTTTTTCTTTAAAGTCACCATTCACATTCTCAATTTCATGAAACCAACTTAACGAGCACGAAATCTAGATCCAGGCATTCCTGCTTACAGCCTCCTATCATGTAGCATACTGATTGGTCTAAGCAGTGAATATTTGTTGCAAGGAAGAGCTGATACGACTTCTAGAGACCAGGATTTTGTATTCCATAGTCCACATTTTTGGTTATCTATTGGTATACATGTTTGAACTTTGTTCCATAGTGTCCTGCCAACAATGTGTAGTGTTTTTAGAATGATAATTTTGAAGAAAGCACGTAGCTCCGTCGCACTATTTATTCACATGATAATCAAAATTAGTTTACTATAAATGTATTTATTGCGAAAGCTTCAACTTTCTTTTTTTTGCTTCTATCCTTTATTTGTATTTTTCAACTCTTAGCAGCTGCTCTGTGCTGAAAGTCCTGTTCTGTATAAATGATCTCAAGTCGGTTGAAATTTCGAATGCTACCACTGAATACAGAATATGAATCATCTTTCCTGAAACGACGTATACCATTCAGATTCGCCTCCTTCAGCGTTCGCAAAAAAATGCAAATCGGACAGATAATAGGGTTAGGTGATTTTGGAAAGCCTTGACATGGATGTTTGCCGTATATCCGAGACCCACGTTTAAGACTTTGATGAAGTCATATGACTTCGTCCTTCATCTGTCGATTCGAAAGACGTGCTTTGCTTGCACTTATCCGGAAACCCTCTGGCATCTCCGTCCGGTTTAACCATCATTGACATCGTACTAAACACCATAGCAGAGACAGAACTGACCCGTTTCATCCCCATCAACAGTCATTTATGTTTTGTTAAATTAAAAAGCTCCATTATAGTGAGGGGAACTTTGTGCGATAAACGATATCTTTTCCTCGTCTCTGCCTAATCCCCAACAGATTGGGGCCCTGATGCAATCATGACTAACCATCGCCATTAGTTAGATAATGTTCTCAAGAAAGCGTTTTAAGCAGATATTTTAATGCTTGTCAGAGATTAGAATCCACAGATTGGGCGGCTCAATTCTTAGCGGAGTCACTCAGGTGACCAATTTTGTCTCAGGTCAGAAAGAAGTGAAAGTCTCCTGCAGCTTTTCTTAAACCACAACCTGTTTCTAGCCAGCCCCAGATTTCGGTACAGTCATCGGCATCCTCAGTCAGCAACTTGAACACAGACGTAGATTAGTCACATCGCGATAAGCTACGAATGGTGTAGTTTTCAAGAAGACTAGTACTCCCCTCTTAGTACCTATCTGGTCTCTGATCATGGTACGGTTCGCGCTGAGCTCATCTTGCAGTTTAGTTGCCTGAAAACATCGATAGTATTCTGGGAACAAGCTGATGAAAGTAGGTGTGATAGTGTAGATTCATTACACCGGAAAAAAAATCCCAGTCTACAGTAAACAGATGATTCTGACTTACACTGCGATGTTAATCAAGCTATGCAATCCTCAATTAGTCAGTGTATGTACGACATGTACTTTGTGCCTTCTGAATGCAGAGTACTTTTACAAGACTGGTGGAAGCCTATATGTACACACTCTTGGTGGTGAGCCGTTAGAAGTATCAGGGAAACTCATGTATCTGGGTAGTTTTGTGAGTGGTGGCGTGACTGGTATGATCGATTTACGTATATTGGAAGCCAGATTAGCCTGTTTTAGCCTTTGGCTCGTTTGTGCTAGTTTGGTTGTAAAACGTCGAATTTACAACTTCACGATGAGCTCATTTATGTTCTTGAAACATTTTCTCTTCGTGTTGAGGATGTCCGATCATATTTGTCTCTGAATGATTACTGACATTCGGTGCAATACCGTAATCATAATGCGGAGGTTTGACTATGCTCTTTTAGGGACCAATAATTACCTTATTGGTGCCATTACCTTTAAACACCGGCTTCAGCCGATTGACTATTTGTTATGAATGTAATCCCAGCATCTTCCATGTCGCACATTAATTCCCAACACTAGGGCTGTGTGGAAACAGCAGTGTGGTAATCGTCCCATGAAGTTGTGTCGTGTTGTGAAGGTAATTCATTTAGGACTAGCATATATTGTCCCATCACTCTGTTTCTGTGATGTAATTCACTGGTTCGAAACTTTATCAGACATAGCTCAGACCAGAAGCCGTTGACATTTCCTTATTTATGTGGTTCATCTTTGCTTTGATGCCCAGTTATTCTAGTGTTTATGTATATCAAATAAATAAATATTAGAATATGTAATTAAATAAAAATGTGTCTACCATTTCATCGACTAATTAATCTAGGTAGTTTTGAAAAAGTGTTGAGAAACAAAATATTCATTTGATTAGCAATAATTTACTATAACTTACGTGAACCATTTGAAATGTAACGGATGTGGGTATTTTTTTTATAATAACAAATCGCTACATGTAATCTGAATAAAAATCATTCGAACTGATTACTTAGTAACAATAAAAAATTTTACAGTTCATTAGACTTTGAACCGCTTGTCGAAATATGAAACTGAAGTGTTGTACAAAAATGTTCTGATCCATCAGTTTATATTTTATATGTTCATTAATACTATATATTAACTTTGAACAGTGAGCAATGCCATTTTATTCAACATTTAGATTTATATTGTTCCGTGAATTTCGGAAGTCTAGCAAATAAAAAGATAATAATACAAGTGAAGCTTAGTTAGTTGATGTATAAAAATCATGAGTTACTCATATGGCTTATAGGTGGACTTGAAGTTTTTTAGTCTATTTAAATATATATCAAATTTACTGATTTATATGTTTAGTTTAGTCTCTGTGTCTCTCGCTACCTATATTTGAAAAAAATACGAGGAACCACTGCAATTATCACGACACGAATTAAGAACATCAAGAATGATACAAGTGAAGATTCATTAACCCGAAAATATAAAGACGGCCCTAGTCCAAAATACACTCATTTATATATTGATTGTACACCCATGTTGATTATTAATTAGAATAAAATGAGATATGTGAAAAATATCCAGAGTTATGGAAAAACACATGCTACATCACATGTTGAGGATAGTTGATCTCATTCAAATAAATTAATGTTATACCGAATAGAATATCATATTGGAAACACAGGAAACAAATACTACACCGAATAATCATCATATAGAATTAAAAATGGAAATAATATAGAACAAGAATGTAATTTTTCCCTTCATCACATCGGTAACCTATTGCTCCATG